AGTCCGTCAAGCTCCTGAAGTTTGCGGATGACACCACCCTTATTGCAGTGATGTGCTGGTGGGGACGAGTCCGCCTACAGGTGGGAGTCTGACCATCTGGTGTCCTGGTGCAGCCAGAACAACCTGGAGCTCAACGCTCTAAAGACAGTGGAGATGGTTGTGGATTTCCGGCGGAACAGAGCCCCACCCTCCCCCATCACCCTGTGTGACTCCCCCGTCACTATTGTGGATTCCTTCCGTTTCCTGGGCTCCATCATCACCCAGGACCTCAAGTGGGAGCTGAACATCAGCTCCATCACCAAGAAGGCTCAGCAGAGGTTGTTCTTCCTGAGGCAGCTGAAGAAATTCAACCTGCCAAAGACGATGATGATCCACTTCTACACGGCCATCATGGAGTCCATCCTCTGCTCCTCCATCACCGTCTGGTACGCTGCAGCCACAGCCAAGGACAAGGGCAGGCTGCAGCGTGTCCTCCCGCTCTGCAGAGAGGGTGATCCGGCTGCAATCTGCCGTCCCTGCAGGACTTGTTCGCTTCCAGGTCTCTGAAGCGAGCTAAAAAGATGGGTGGCCCGACCCCTCTCACCCCGGACAAAAACTGTTTGTGCCCCTTCCATCTGGCAGGAGGCTGAGGTCCATCAGGACTAAGACCTCCCGCCACACCAACAGTTTCTTCCCGTCGGCAGTCGGGCTCATCAACAGAGCCGGTCCCCCACTGACTGACTATAACATTCCACCGGTCACTCCCCTTCACACTGCACACGTCACTTTAACTGTAATTCATCACTTTGTCGTCACTCGTCACTTGTTCGTTAGTGCACTTTATGCTTAATATTTCTTTAACTTTAATATTTAACATTTTTAACTTTATTCCCTTGTTTTATACTAACCCATAGCCTTATTTACTAACCCGTTGCATTAGCATTTCATTTTACTTGTGCACTGCTGTCTTGTCTATTGTCACATTGTCTACTGTCACGCACCAACCGCCAAGACAAATTCCTTGTACTATTACGGTAAAAATGTTTCTTGATTCCTATGTAGAAAACACCAGTGTGCAGAGTAGCTTGTTGGTGTGAGGAGCCAAAGTGGACAGCTTGGATATCTGAGCTGTATTTGCATGTGTAGTTTTCAGAGAAGTCAATGTGGATCACTGCCTCCTCTTTTGACAGGTTCTTCTTTAACTCTATGCAGTACGAGTACTGTTGATTTATGTTGAATGTGTGTCTTTCGAACAGTGTGGAATAACTCCACAAGATTGTCTTGTGTGTCCTCCATTGTTTTCTTCATTGTGATCTTGACACTGGTCGGACCCTCCCTTGCATCTTCCCTTGCTTTCTCTGCTGTGGCCCATTGAGTGAACGCAACCTTTGCTGAGCCATCAAATCTGGAGAGCTAAACAGTTGTCTTTGCATTCCGCACACTCATCATACATGCACATTTTCCACGAGGTACCACAGGTTATCATTTTAGTCAAACTCTGTAGATCTGAAGTATCTATGACCCTCAAATTATGCAATTTCTCAATGACAAATCTGAGATTTTCATGGATCTTACACAGGCATGTGTTCCGGTCGGAGAGAGTGGGATGTACAACCCAAAATGGGCAAAGCTTACAGAAAAGGGAGTATGATATGTTGTTTGTGTTTTCAGTAAGACATTTTTTGTGAAGATTTTTCATTGTGTCAGCCAGAAACCTTTTCTGCTTCTTCACCTTGTTCTTTGTAATTGTTTGTTTTCGTCCAGTCGTTATCCGACTGTTGTCATCTCGAGTGAAGAAAGTTTTGACTTTGGACTTGAAAGCAGCAGTAAACCTGTTTGTGGGATTTCTGTTGGTGGAACAGAGGTCTTCACTCTGAACACTGCGACGCTTCTTTGAAAATCCAAGGACATTTTATATTGAGTAATAAGTGTGTGAATGATTTAGTGAGTGAACAAAACAGGGTTAAGTTAACAAAAATAGTACTACTACTACTAATAAATGTTTAGCCTATATAATAATCCTTGATTTCTCACATCCCCACATTGAAATGGGAAGCAGAACCACCCTGTCACATCCCTTACCACCACGTCACAATAAAACATGTGACGGGGTGGTAAATTTCAGCCCAAAATGGCCGCAGATCTCCCATGTGGTTAAGTTCCTCACCTAGCATACATGCATTTTATCTGAAATATGTATTTTTGCATTAATAATGTAAAATAAAAAATAAAAATCAGTTTTCCCTCTATTTTGCATGACAGGGTGGTTGGTTTAAGATGGACGGAACCTGCCTAACATGAAAAATCAACAAATAAAGAATGTAGAGGAATGTCAGTACTTGCCTGCTTTTCTTGGCAGCAACGAGGCTCCAATGATGTCACTTCCGCTTTGTGATGTCATTTAAAGCAACAGTACATTATTTATAGATAAAACAAGTTAGTGTGACGGGGTGGTAAGTCAAACTGGGGGACGCACACACATACCAACATATTTACAAAAAAATAAGATATATTTTATTCAAAACAAAACTTATGTGAAAAGGAACACATATAATCCTAAAAATAATAAATGATTTTTTAAAATACATAACTTATTTCGTGTCATTTGAAAAAATATTCAAATAGAATGTTATTCTTTAAAAAAAATATTTTTATCATATATCATATTAACAAGAACACTTGAATGAATAACCTTAAAATTTGTAAAACACATGTTTTGGGACATGTGTGTGCCTTATGCATCTCATCAAACGTGGACCCAAATGGCACCCGTTTCGTAGAATGGCTCATTTCATGAATACTCTATTGAACACCATTTTTCGAATTTAAATTGACAACATTTCATGTGAAATCTCTTTTTATTTCCCTTGCCAGTGACAAACCCTTTTAACAAATTATTAACTAGATGTATTTTAATTAAACATTACATAATTGATAACTTTTTCAAACAAGGTGCAATACATAATCACATTTTGAACTAATGACAAAGTCCCTAATAAATTGAACACAATGTATCCTATTTTTGATTCAGCTTTGCAACTGACATCTGGTATCTGTTTCTTTGTTAGTGGGAAGACTGGCATTGAATGCTGTTCACCAGTGTATTGTAGTCTGGTGTGTAACTTGACACTGCAACTCTGAGTGAGTCTTGTAGGTGTGCATCAGTGAGGCGGGTTCTGTGTTTGTTCTTGATGACGTTCATGTCAGAAAATGCTGATTCACAGAGATAGGTTGAACCAAACAGGCTGGCAACCTTCATAGCTGCTGTGCTTACACCACTGTACTTTTCTGTGTCAACAAGGCTCCAAAAGTTTGGTGCAGTCATTTTGCAATGTTACAATTTCAATCTCCACCTGTGCAGCATCCAAGTTGAACGTTGCACTTAGTTGCTCAGCAATGTAAGTTATGTCCTTGTTCATGAAAGGATTGGAGATGAATGAGACACATGGCTCAAGCTGATCAAGGTCACAAAACCTATCCTCAAACTCTTGTCCAAGTCTGTTTATGACTTGACAGTACTTTTCTGCTACTTTGTCCATTTCCTCAGATGCAGTAGCATTGTCTTTCAGCACCGATCGCACAGAGGAAAAGTGCAGCATTTTTTTTCTCTGTAAATGCACAGAGAAAATGTTCATCTTGGCTTTAAATGCATTTAAAGCGCTTATCATGTCAACAACAGTCTTACCTTTGCTTTGCAGCTCGCAGTTCAAGTGGTTTAGTTTCCCAGTGATGTCCGTTAGAAATGCAAGGTCAAGTGTCCACTCTGTGTCCTCTAGCAGCGAGACGTCTTCCCCTTTTGACTGCTTGAACTCCTTGATTTCACCCAAAAGTGACAGAAACCGAAGCAAAACTCGTCCTTTGCTCAGCCATCGGATTTCTGTGTGTAGCAACAGGTCCCCATATTCTGCTGACATCTCCAACAGCACCTTGAATATCCGGTGCTTTGAATATTTTGCTTTGGAGCAACGGGAGTCATCACGTGCTCCAAGCCGATCACTTTTGCACACGCCTGCTGGTGGATGATGCAGTGGTAATGCAGACGTTTTGGGAAGTCTGGGTCACCTTTACAGTGCGCGATGAAACCTGCATGTCGGCCGATCATAGCAGGAGCTCCGTCTGTAGCCACCGCTACCAGCTTTTCCAGTGGTACCTTTTTCTGTACGAAAAACTCCTTCACCGCGTTGTAAACGTCAACTCCCCTCGTAGTTGTCTTGAAGGGCAGGAGTGCCAGGAGTTCTTCTTTAGTGGAGAAATCTTCAAACACCATCCGGATAAAGACTGACAGCTGCGCTGTACTGCTGTTTTCCACGGACTCGTCGCACTGTACGCTAAACCAGCTGCACCGCGCCAGATCCCGGTCCAGCTCGTCTTTAAGTTCGGTGTTGGCAATAATCATCATTGCTTCTTTGAAAACTTCACTGTCTGAAAAGGCCTTCTTCTTTATCAGGAGATGTGCAGCTCTAAACGAGGCTTCGGGTGCTTTTTGGGAGTTCTTTGCCAGCTTTTTTGTGTAGCGTCTCTCCACATTGTGCCGCTTTGCCGTCCCCACAGTCGCCCTGCAAATGAGACAAATGCAGTTTTCTTTCACACAAAAAAATTCTTCCTCCCATTCACTGTGAAAATGATACGTTCTTTTCTGCCATGTTTTTTGGCGTAAGAATGTGCGTTCAGCGCCGCATCATTGCTGTTCCTGCACTCACCTTTGAACTAGAATAGGTCAGAGTTCGACAAAATTATCAAAACTTTCATGTATTATACAAATATTTTTTATTATTTTATTTTAAATATCTTGTCATTTTCATATACATATAAATGCAAGTGTGATTAAAAAAATTATTTATTTTAAAATTAATTTTTTTTTAGACTGCTCACTAGTGGTGTGCTATTTTTAGAACAGGCCTGCGGGCGCCTCATATGGTCCGTGCAGGCGACCTGGTGCCCACGGGCAGTGGGTTGGTGACACCTGGTCTAAACAAAGACATTTTCATGAAAAAGTAACTCAGTATTACATACCTGGTGAGTCAGCCCTCAAGTCACCACCTAGGACTACTTTCTGTCGCTGGCATAACTGGTCCAACATGCCATCCTGCGCTGTGCACGATTGCAGGCTCTATGTACATCCGGGCGTGCCGGAATGTGTCATACTGAAACATCCTCAACTGCATTGCCGGAATACCTGAGGTCAAAAAAGACACAGGACTCTTTTCTTTAGTACTGCTTTTGGGATTGTGTGTAGATACAAATGAACACATATATATCATTTCACTCCAGAAAATTCAGATGATAATATTCCATGTTCCATTAACCTTCTCCAGTTTGAAGAAAGATGCACCAGTGGCATACACTGCAGCTGACAGTTGGATTTTCCCAACAGGAGTGCTTACCTGAAGAAGAGGCTGACTATTCCATTTTCTGTAGAACTAACAGTGTGGGCACTTCTGTTCTACAGAGAGAAATGTCCCAACCCTTCTTGCACATCTGTCACCCGCCGACACACCTCAAACAGCTCCAGGAGGCAGTTTTCATATACAATATATGTGGGTGTCTTATGAACAGGGTTGGAAGATTCCATTCTATTAAAAAGACAAAGATTTCACCAAAAAAAAAATTACTTCCATGCTGCTACAGCTAAATTAAGTGTAGGATGGTAATCCATCTGATTATTAAAATGTTTAGATTAAATATTGAGGTCACTCACGTCACATCTGCTGACTCAGTAAAGACTGTGACCGAGTCATTAGGATCATAGGTAGAATCCTGTTGCTCTCCGAAATCCATACTTGAACTTCCCTCAAAAGGGTCTCTCCACCCCAACACAAAGACTTTTCACAGGGGAATGGTTTTTTTGGATAAAATAACAATTTCACATAAGCTAGGCACTATGTATGTATATGTGGAAAAGTAAATTCCGACACTAGTCCATAAACATCCACACAAACTACTGCGCAAGTAGGCATCATGTTTGCGGTAGGCACTATTATCATCGTGTTTGCAACTATGCAAACGTTCAGACACAAATTACATCCAAACGCAGTAATGTACAAGTGATCATACATCCAATATGCTAGCCTAGGGTTCATACAGGCAACAAAGAAACATTCGCGAATGCTATATCCACACCAGTCAGCTCCGAGGCCAGGCCTCATACACTAATGTACATACCCACTCAGCGCATAAAAGTAATTGTTCGCGAAATTACGGATACAAGGACTACTTTTCCCCAACCACTATATGCTAGCCCCTCATCCCCTCACACACGCGACACAACATGCTAACTTTACTAACCTCCACACAAAATGTCTAAAAGAAGCAAATACCAGAATTATTTAAAAACAAAAATACATTTTCCTCGTCTTCGGTCCTGCAACGGATAGATGGCAACAACCCCCTTTCAATATCAACCTTCCAGCGAGTCAAGCGTTATATTGGCCCAGGTTGATAAAACAGTCCAATTCAAAGTGGTTAGCGCACACTAACAGATATTTGCCAACTCTTGCAGGAAAATTGCCTTCATATATGAAATCAATCTTGTGTCTTCTTGCGTGAGTCACATGAAGGCATTTCTGCTGATCTTTGCAGCAGACCACTGAGCATCTTGGTTGTCGACGTTGATTCATGCTGCTAGCTAGCTTGTCAAAGTGTTTCCAAGGCTTGCAAGAAAAAAGTGGCGCCAGGTCACCGAACAGTCTTTAAACTGGGTGGGTCGAGTGGTGGTAGGGGGTGGTCCAAGGCCATGTAGGCAGACTCCCTACATGGGCGTGCTTCAAAATCTACGTAGACGTTGGTGTTGATCCCATTGGACGCACTCAAGGATATCGTTTCTGACACCACAACAAGCCACGTGAGCTGTTTTTTTCCAGCGTTTTTGTGTTGGCAGACATGCCAGATACCCAAATTAATGTATAGAAGCACTAAAAGTGGAATTCTCATAATATGGCCTTAAGAATTTAATTTTGATTCAAAATGTATTAACCGACAATGTATGTTTTGTATACCATTTTCTCCGGAGGTCATGTGCCGTGTTTTCCGCACAATAAGGCGCATAAGATACTGCAGTCTATCAGCGAAAATCACTGTGAAACTTGGAGAGGGCAAATCTGGTTGATGCGCGCGTAAATCAAACATCCGCAAGCGAGCAAAAGTCCGTCTCGCAAGCGAGCGAATACCTCGTGCGAGACGCACTTTTGCTTGTGAACTTCGTTGCTCGCGAGGACCATCTCTGCTCGCGCTCGGAATAGGTGGAGACGGCGCTTTCAGGGTCCGATTGATACTGCGAGATGCGTCCACTCCCGCCGCCCCCCTCGCCATCCACGACTTAAATCTTCGGCTGCTCTCCAGCCACGCCGCCTACCAAGGGCTCCTTTTAGAATAACTTATTTCCCAGTTAAGATGGTTCAGCTACTGTAGAGAAAAGGGCGCCGTCTCTCACTCTTTAATCTCATTAAATGCTCGGCAAGAACGACAGCTTTGTTTCTCAGACGCACCCTGAAACAAGCTCCATATCTCACGGGCTTGAGCGCCGTTCAGCATCTCGCCGTCGTAGACGAGCTTTGGCGTGTTTGGCAGAGCGCCGTGTACAACCAGTATGGATCAACCGATTAACCAATCTGTTAGTTTAAATTGTTTGTGCTTCATCAATTAATGTTTCACATAACTAATGTGCCGCATCATACATATTTTTATATTAATTTAAAACTTTTTATTTATTGTAAATGACCTCTCGCGGCCCACCTGCAGTACCTTCGCGGCCCACACTTTGGGAATCGCTGCCATAGACCATTGTATCCTGTTGCAGAGACTAGAACATTTAATTGGTATCAAAAGGAACTGCACTCCGCTGGTTTAAATCCTAATTATCGGATCGATCCCAGTTTGTGCTTGTAAACGGTGAATCCTCAGACCACCAATGTTGGTCAGAGTCCCACAAGGTTCTGTACTTGGACCAATTTTATTTACCCTCTATATGCTTCCTTTGGGCGATCTGATCAGGAAACTCTGCATAAACTTCCATTGTTATGCAGACGATACTCAACTGTATCTGTCGATCAAACCAGAAGAGACAAACTAGCTAGTTAGACTTCAAGAATCTCTTGGAGACATCAAAACTTGGATGACTGGCAACTTCCTGATGCTAAACTCAGGGGAAAAAAAACAGAAGTTAGACGCAAACATCGTCTTTACTTCAGGTAGGGGTTCGGTACACGGGTAGTCAAACAGAGAAGGCGGATCAATCCAAATCGGCAGGCAAAGGTTGATGGGGGGACAGAAATGGGTCAAAACACGGGAAGGCACACTCGGGAGAATTGCTGGTAAGCTCATTGGAACAAAGAGACAAACTGGCACAGAACAAGCCGTTGGCACAGACTAAATACACAGAGGAACGAGACAGAGATGCTCACAAGTCTCAAGTCTCTTGTGGTTATAATAAGTGTTGCCACACGTACAGCGACCCATCCAGGCTGCTTAGAACTCTGCACAGCTATATATATATATATATATATATATATATATATATAAGGAATTCAAAGCATGTAATAGGTTATTATGACTGCTTTATCTATTAACACTAAAGAAGTCAAAATAATACTGTATGCTATAGTATACAGTATCAGCTTTGATTTTGGTATATAATCAGTGTAAACAGACTATTGCAACATGACAGAAACACTAAGAATCCTTTACTTTTAATTTAATATCTGTATTTTACCTTGTAGCCTGAACATACAGAACAGTACAGACCAAAAATTGAGGTTCTGAAGAAAAATAACTCCCTTGTCTGTCGATGATGAACTCACAACACTAAAATTAACACTCTTATTTAGTGCGAAACATCACAGTGTAGCTAAATGCAAAACACTATTGCAACCAAACACACTACAGTGCACTTCTTTATGATCAAAGAAAATCCTTTAATTATTTGCAACTGACAAACTTGACAAAAATGTTTAGAAATAATCAAAAAAAATCCAAAAGGATGAGATCAGAACCTTCTCTTTTAACAGTATTAGCCACAAAACATTTCTGGCTTCTAGGTGTCCTTCAGTGGCCCATGAACTAGAAAAGTCTTAAGCAACAAAACTGCATTTTAAAAAGATCAAGCTTGACAATGTCTTTGTACTAAGTCTGGCTCGGTGAGGCCGCATTATAAGGCCTCCATGACTAAACACCCTTTCCACTGGCGCACTGGTGGCAGGAACTGCAAGCAGTTTCATAGACACATGATAAAGCCTTGGGAAGACCTTTTTGATTGAGTAGAGGTGTGGCAGATATCATTTGTGGAAAAGTGACTGCAAAGACCTGCTTTCATCAATGGGATAATTTCTCTCTAGCGACGGTGTGGACAGAGGTCTAGTCATGTTGGTCACAGTGGGACATTTGACCAACTTGCGTCATTGTTTTCAAGCCTACTCTGCTGATATGGAGGAGAAATCTGGTTAGGCACATTTGCCTACCATGACTTTTGGAGTCAGGTTTGAACACCGGTCTGAAAAATTTCGATAAAACTGGGCAAAAATCTCTCCAGAGGAAGCACTAGAGACATTTTTTCATACCCAAATGCGCAACCAAGAATATTTGTCTTACTTCTGATGAGTACACCAAAATTGAAGTTTTTGAATATGTTAAAGTGTGTTTAAAGCAGAGAAATAATAAGAATAATTCTTCTAAACAAATCAGGGGGTCTCAAACTGACACATGGCGCTCACCGGGGCCGAACCGTTCTTCACGGGCATCCCCTCGTCAACCGTAATGGTTGCTCCTCAAATGAGTGAGACCTCTGCAATAGGGTTTCAGTGGGCTCAGGCCCTATTTAAGATGACCTAACATTTGTCTGCGTGCACTCAAACCGCAATCACCACCGGTTGACATGGTGGTTAGTTGCAGCAGTCACATACTTAAATATGATTTTTGAGTCAATCTTAAAAACAACATTAAATAGCGTGGACTGTTTTTGGGGTAAAGGGCATTTTTACCCAAAAGGTGCATTTTGGCCAGTGGAAATTCATGGGTTGTTCAAGCTCGTATTGTGACAGTTTGTCGAGATGCGTTTGGTTTTGTTTATTTTATGTGGGGTACCAGCCAGGTCGCTCTCCTGACATCAAAGATACCTGCGTCGGAAACTAAGGCTAAGTTGTATTTTTATTTTCAGGATCTCAGTCCAAAACCACACAAGCGCGTACCTATAAAATGTACACCCTCAACCCATTAAACAGTCACAAGAATAAATCCAACAAAGCACAACACACAGTCTAAGATTCAGTTTAAATGTTCATATATTTACACAAAAAGGTAAGTCAAGCAGAACAAAGGAAATGTATTGTCCACCTTCCAAAAGAAGAGAGCAATCCACACAAAAGAAGGATCCGCCTGAGGTTCTTTTCATAGTTAATCACTTCCAGGAACAGAAAACAAAGAACGTTATGGACTTACAAGGTGATGTCAGTCGGGGCCAGTAGTCGGTGAGTCCGGTCCGGGTTGTAGCAGGGGTTGGGCGCCGCTGTCGGTGGGGATTTCACGCGTACTTGTTTAAGGGGTTAAACGACCTTAACTTGCAACTGAATGTAGCTCCGCCGACTCCGCACTCCTGCTCCCCTCCATCACACTCCACTGAGCCCCCAACAGCAGGAAGTGCTTCGGCCAGGTAAAGGGGCGGGTCCACCGCACCAAAACAGCTGATTAGAAGCTGGTGGTCAGTGTGCTTTCCCAGCCTCTACCGGATACCTTTGTTTTCGAAATAGATGCAACAACTGATTGTTTCAACATTTCTCAATTTAACTGAACGAATCAAATAATACAATAAAGCTGAGGTACTATTATGATCTGATCAGCTAGGTAAGGCTAAAAAAAGACATTTTATTTAGTTTACAAGTTTATTTAAAGGCCCCGGGATGCATTAGACACGTGGTTATACTGTGTGGCCCTTTCTCCTCCGAACTTAACTAAAACATTTTGAACATTTCTTAGAAGCATGCTGTCTATAAACTGTATGTTGACGCATTGTTGAGCTTATTCTACACCACAGATACGTGGTTCCCTTTGATTACCCCACGCAGCGTTGTGCCCGTACGGTTCCTAGTGGAGGTAAACGGTAGTATTCTCCCGGTCGGGACACGTGATATGGAAGTTAATGCGGAGTTTGTTGTTTCTTCGGGGCTCTGGGGGGAAGGAGGCTGTTGCATAAAGCTTGAGAAGTTCACGACGAAAACTTTCTGAAATAGTTTGGCTTCAACTTCGAAATAAAAGACAATTCGAAAAACTTGATACATTCTGCTACAACGGGCACATTTGACGCATTGAGGGAAATTCGACCAGGGATATGTGATATGTATGTATAAATAAAAAATGTCACTGTCAAATATTAGAGGGTTCTTCTATTATTTGTAACCGATCCGACTGCTTTGCACAAGAAATACCACAAAGGCTAAATCTTTATGAAAAATAATCTAATCTGATTTGCTTGAACCCGTTAGTCTCTAGGGTAGTGTGGTTTGGATCGTGTGGGGGGATTCTTTTGGCATCGGATACAAAAATGAATTCGTTATTTGGTCAAAGAAACCTGGTGTTAAATGGCTTTAGCGCGATGTACTTTATTCTGACAAGCCTAAGCGGAAGTAGATCCTTCACACCACGGACACCTCGAGCAGCTCCCAGACCGTATGACCGCCGTTACAGCACGTACGTCGCCTCAGTTGAAGACCTAAGCAGAACTTTATTGTTATCAGAGCTTACAACGAGCGAGTGGTGACGGGAATGGCGCCATGATGTCCTCCACACGGACAGACACCCGTCGGAGCCGCGGAGTTTCCTGTCGCCACACTGGGAAAACACTCGGAACTTAGCAGGCAAGTGGTGGCTGGAGCGAGCCTCCCTTTGTGTCCACACGTCTTCACTCCACTTCTCTCCTCGTCTCTCGAGGAAGTGAAACTACACTTTTTATGCTCCGCTCGAGTGAGGAAACGGCGGAGTGCGAGTCCCGCGGGACAACCTGCCGCGTCCCAACGCGGGGACACACGTCCCGCTTCTGGAGGTTCGGCAGTGAAGGCACTGATTTAACATTATTCTGCCAGAACACGTGAATAATCGAACTAGACCGCTGCCAGATCCATTAAACGTCAGTTTAGTGTGTTAAGTAGATATATTTGGCGTTTACGGTCCTAAAGTCATCTAACACACTTTGTGGTGATTTAGTAATTGCACAACTTGTCCACATCGCAGTGTGTGATGTCCCACCGCGCTGAACTCTTCTGCACGTCAGAAGCTGGTCGACCCATATCTCTAGACTCTCCAGCCTGGAAGGCAGCGATTGGTCTGATAACTACATCCGTTACGGAGTCTCGCATTTCCGGTTTCATAGCCTAGAAAAATGGGTGGACGCTCGCAAGGAGGCGTGATAAGGACGCGCAAGGGTCTCTGAAACGCAGAAGCATAAACTCTGCTTAAGGACGCGGACGGCCTCTGATCCTTGGAGGAAGATCTCGGTCGAGGGGAACAAAGTTGTGGAGGGAAAAGCAGCAGTCAAAGTCCATGATAAATAAATAAACCAACGACTTCCACACACGAGGACTCCTCAGGGCCTGTTCCTCGCACCAGGCTAGCTGATGTTTTCAGGATGAGATGACGTAGATCAGGCTTTTCGGTTCCCTGAAGAGTTGAGATGATTATTCTCATTGGATGATGATCATCATGAAGCCTCCTGCCAGCAGACACATTTAAAGAAACGTAATCTGATTGATTGGAGTGACGAGGCACCGGGGGCGCTGTCAGTTTAAGTTTATTTGCCGTTCTACTGTAAAAATCCTGGTTTCGGTGATCGACTCTTCCGCCTTTTAATGTAAGACGATTATCCTGATGATTGACATCTGGTTCAAACCAACGAGACGGTTTGAGCGCCGATCCGCCTTCGAGGAACCGAGATAGTCTGATGTCAATCATCTCGGTAATTTGAGCTGGATAATCGGACATTTGATGGACTTGGTAGAACCACGTACGAGGAACAGGGCCCACGAGGTGAATCGCTTTGCAACGCACGCAAGACTTTAGACCCAGGAAGTGAAACGAGTGCGTCGACACGACGTAAAGACGCAGACGCGTGGACTTCAAAATAAGAGCAGTTCCGGTGAACGTGATGGAACACATCAAATTCATTCAAAAACATATTGACAACAAATTGATACAATACATGATTCAAAATCCCGTTCATGAGCCAACTTCTGTAGCATTTCAGATTAGATTTGAAAGGAAATGGTCAACAGTTCCATAACTATTTTACTTCAGAGGTGATGAAGTCAGTTCATATACGTCACAAGCATAGTGCCTAGTATATAGTGTAGTGTATATAAGTAATGTGCGGCCTGGCTTAACTGTGTTTTTCAAAGTGGAGGCTGGCTTGACCGCCGTCCTGCAGCCGTGTTTCTAGCTGCTGGCTGAAGCCTCACAGATCGGTGTGGTGTGTCTGTTGTGTGCGTGGTAATTGGATCGCTGTTCAGTCAAGTTGCTACCAGGTATTTGCAGGGTTCACTGACACTAAAATGTAACTAATATCAGCCCCTCTCACCATAGCATCCCTCTCTGCACTGCAAGTACAAGTTCAACGCCCTGGATGTTCAATCTCCTCAGAAATCTGCTAATGTGCTTAGAGCTCAGTTGTCTACCTCGAACCGAGTCACGGGACAGGAATTCCTGAAGGGAGGTTTGGTCCGGCAGCCCGGTTGGATGTGGGACCCTCTCTTTGCTCATCTAGGGTAGCCTGGTTCTTCCAGCAACATATGTAGGCTTCATACGCATTCAATTATAAAACCACACGTACATCCATATATACAGAACTAGATCCAAAATGATCAATTTAGTTTCCAAATATTTAGGACTACGGCTGCAACAACGAATCGATGAAATCGATAAAATTTGATTATTGAAAGCGCTGGCAATGAATTTTATTATCTATTCGTTGTGTCACGCGATTATTACGTCGCTCGACGACCTGCGGAGATGCGCGCAGACAAAGAAAATAAAAGAGCTGAGCCGACGTAGAGCAGCCAGCAGCATTGTGAGTCACATGACGTCTGTCCTGCGAGCACATGACAGGGAGCACCGCGTTGTCCCGTTTCAGTGAGAACGAGGAGCCTCCTGTCATCCAGCTGATCAAGCTAGCGTTAGCTCGCTAATGACAGCGGTGAAGGAGTTAGCAAGACTGAAGCCTAGTTTATGCTTCTGCGTTTTCAGAGCGACGCAGACGCAAGACCCCCTTCGTGTCCCTTGCGTCGCTTTTCTTGCGTCCTTGTGTGTCAGACATTTTTCTAGGCTTGCGTAGCTTTCGACGCAATCGACACCAGGCTGCGATCGGTCCGCTAACTACGTCCTTTACGGAGTCTCACATTTCCGCTTTCATGGCCCGATACGGCCATTATTAAAACGAAGGATGTTTACGAGAGAACGGATCAGATTTAAGAGCTTTTGTCTGAAGAAATGTGTAAATATGAGCGCTTCTACAAGCCGTCATTGGCGGGTTGTAGAAGCGGGTTGGAGTCTATGATAAATAAATAAATAAATAAACAAATAGACGTGACTCTCCAGGTCGTCTTCAACAAAACACGTCACTCCGCCTGTTGTTGTGGAGGTGAATCGCTCTGCAACACACGCAGGACTTTACAAGCAGGAAGTGAAACCAGTGCGTCGACGCGACGTAAAGCGTAAAGACGCAGACGGCGGCCTTAAATTATCTGATTTGTATTTTTATTTTTTTATAAATTATTATGTTCAAGGAGCAACTTGTACTTTCTGAAGTATTTTAGCTTTTTAATGCTGTTTTTTTTATCCAATTCATCGATTAATCGAAGAAATAATTGACCGATTAATTGATTATCAAAATAATCGTTGCAGCCCTATTTAGGACCTTGTCTATGGAGACCTTTTAGCTGATCCATTACGTGTGGTATGTATTCATGTATTTGAGGTTTTGGGAAGCGGAGGCAAACAGGCAGTACATCGGTTGTGTATCTTGTTATGTGGAGAGTTGGACTAGATATTGAAACACAGAGGGGTCACCACGGTTACAGAGAGGCGTTGTAAGAACATTTTGCTGACGAGCTATTGAACCGGGATCTCTAAATCTGAATATCTTGCATTGCATGGATGCCCTGTAAGAATGAGATATTCTACAATACATTTGATTGAGGACTTTATTGCATAATGGAAATAAAACTTTAAGCATTATTTGCAATTATGTGTGATTAAAAAAATGAAAATTTGAAACCAGGTCATTCCACATAAATGCACATTTTTTAAACGAGATTCAGGACGATTTGAAGACCGAATGACATTGCTAGTTTATCGGTTTTGTTGCAAGCTGTAACTTGCTGTCGTTTATGTGGAAATTATTTGACATTCTGAACGTTCAATATTGCTTACACTTGAGCACACACGGCTTTAATATGCACAGGAAATAGTCACTATGATTGAAGGGTTTAGTGGGGCTGCACGGTACGGCCAAAACTCCATATCCCGCTATTAAGAAAGGTTCTGACCCTACTGGTGTTTCAAGTAAACACATTAATTCATTGACCCCGAAAAGGACCCGGCTACCCGAACAGCTGTTTGCCGCTCGCCAGCCAACTCGCTGCAACTGGCTAGTTAGCGCGTTAGCTTGTTGTGGCTGCTAGCGTTGCCACCAGAAGCTCGACAGACTTTGCTATAAATCGTTTTCAGATCCAAGTCGGATTTTCCAAAACCTAAAACCCTCCAAACAGACTCGGCTCCTCTGTTGGGCACAAGTTGTGTTGGTGCCTCTCTGGTCTCTCCAGTGTTTCCATGTAGCAACAGTTACTTGTTGTTGTGAGCTTTACCCAGCATGCAGTTCGGCCGGGTCATATTTATAAGTGTACAATTATTGCTGTTACAAATTGTTTGTGTCACAAGCTGTTGTGTTGTTGTGTTTTTACCCCGTTAAGGAGTGTTTGTTGTTGTTGTTGTTGTTATACCCATGACTCAATCTCAACACGCGTAAGACAAATGGCTCCGGCCGCTGGGCGCTCATCCATGGCGTGTTAAAATAAAGAGCACCGTCAGTTATATGAGCGGTGCTAGCAAGCGGTCATTAAAATCTGAAAACGGTGGAAATAAAAGTGTGTTTATGGCTGTCAAAATTCAAGAGCGCAAATCAGGTTGATGCGTGCGCGTAAATCAAATCGTGGGAGCAAACTGTCAGCGTCGCGCGGCATATTTGCTCGCAAAGAACAACAACAGCGAGCGTGTGAAAAGCAGCAGAGATTCGCCTTGCGAGGAAGTTCACGTTTGGCGAGCGAGCAAATATCTCTCGTGTTTGTCTCGCGTGCCGGCTGTTGTGAGTCACATGACACGTTACTAAAGACCAAAATGAGTGACTGACTGATGAGTGAGTGACTCAAGGCGCTGAAAGTGTGTCAATGGCGAGATATGCAAAGTCGACGTCACGGGAGCATCACGTTGTCCCGTTTAATAACAGCAGTAAAGCAGTTTGCAGGACTAAGACACCTTTTTATTTACGCGCCTCTTTTGGAAATTTTCAATCTATATTTCGTGCTCTATCCCACTTCAGTTACCGTTGACAAATATATTTGTGTGTGTTGTACTTGTTAATGCTGTCATATACGGTAGTCTAGTGTGCTTGCGCACATACTGTGTGTGATACGGTAGTTGATGTTACGCCTGTGAAGGGAGACACACGGTGATCCATTAAACCAGCGCGGCTAACGAAGGAGCCTCTAATGCATTTATTTACTAATGTCAATCTCATAGCACTTGGTTGGTTTTTAGCTGTATACATTTACTTGCACTACAATGATGGTAATATTTTAATGAATAATGAATGAATGAAATTTTTGCCATGTGAATTTACAGTTTTGTTTTAGAATAAAGGGTTGGAAATTAAAGCTTTATAATGCTGTTTAAAAAAAAAATCAGATTCATTGATTAACCAATGAATCGATTATCAAAATGATCATTAGTTAGGGTTAGGATCATTAGTTGCAGCCCTAATTGCAAACTAAACCATGCATATGCGTGTTATTAAAAGTTAGCACAAGTATCCAGCACGAGCTAACACTTGACCAGAGCACAGTTTCTACTCGCGGTTGTAAGTGGCATTTGGCTGGTGGCTTAGCGGTTGCAGCTCATCTCAGATCCTCCTGCCGTGTCTGCATTGTGGAATCAGGCATTGCCTTGCTGCTGTCTCTCAACACACAGCCACTTACAAGAGTTCCCTTTGGCTTTCTAGATGCTCCACTGTTGTCGGGCCTTAGGTGTGGGCTTTTCTACAGACAACAGAACCCGATCGTACCGAACTCTCGACTGTTCACAATTATTTGCTGAGAGCGTCTGGGAGGTTTATGTTGCTTATAATGATGGTGGTTGTAATAATGACAAGCACACAACACAGGCGTGATTCATTTTCCCATTTCCCCATTTCGTCTCTTTGGTTCTTAGCATCTGAGTGTGGAGGAGAAATTAAACTGTTGCTGTACATACACGAACGTCAGTAAGAAAACATGGTGGCCTTACGTTTATTTTTCTCCATCGCCCGAATGCCACAGGCCTCAGCTGCACACTGTACACGTGTGTGATCCTTAGGGGACCTTTTCTCTCAAAGGCACTTGGTAATGGAGCATTGCTGTCCTTTACCCACCCAGTCAAAAGGTCCCATGTTCATGCAAACAGCATGAGGCCTTCTAAGTGAAGCTCATCAGATATCTGTATAAAAGCTTGCTAACATTTATCACCTCTTCACAGCTGGCCAATAACTGCACAAAGCGGAAATGATAATAATCAGCCGTAATTTGTTATCAAAGTCAATTTTCAACAGGAAAGTATTGAGACCGCTGAATGCACCCCGGGTCAGGTGGGAGTGGAGGTCAATGGGTTCAAACAACAGCCATCTTTCAGCCACATGAAATAGACAATAGACAAAAGTAACTTTTTTGGTCTCTAGTATTGGAACAGAAGCTCTGATTACATATTCTGGCACCAACGGGAGCTCCGTCCTCAATCTAAAGGTGGAGCTCCACAAATGAGTACAATGAAGGGAGATGTGCTTTTCCAAAGGAAACAGAGACACAGTCTTTTGAAATGAGTAACCCGACCCTTTTGGCTCTCGCGTTGCGTATTATCAACCTTTTATATTATTAACGTCACACACACTGTCACAACAGACCCGTATCAGGGGAACGTGGATGGATGCCGCTGTTTTCCCCACTAACATGTGTCTTTCTAAGAAGGGAGATGTCAGAGATGTTAGCATGCCTTGGCACAGCTGGCTGACATCAGTAACCAGATCCATCACAACATCTGGCTCAGGCTCACATGTGTGTATGCGTGCAATGAGTCTAAAGCTCTGTGGGACGCAGTGAGCTGCTTTGGGATCCTCATGAAGATGGGACCTCCAGCGTTTCTAACTGACGTGTTGGTGGAATATTGGTGTGTCATCATCCTCAGGGTAAAAAGATCTTCTTTCTGTGGTGTGCCCCCCCCGGTACCAGTTGGCCCACAGACCATCAACTATTGATAATGCTCCTGTTTATATACATTTTCTGGTTGACGTAAAAGAGAGTTTCTAACTCTCCTGTCTTCTGTAAATCTGTAAATGGGGCACATTTCATTTCCTTTTGCTGGCATGTCAAGCTCTAATGTCCTCTTTTTGTCCACAGACATTTCAGCAGACAGAGGGGGCACCATGTCCACCAGCACCATGACCCAACCCCCCAGGCAGGAGAGGAAGGGCAGCTTCTTCAAGGTACCTCCTACCCCCATTAGGTACCATGAAGGGCAGGCGTATTACAAAGTGACGCTAGCCTCACTGTTTCCCTGCAGCCTGCGATGACTCCTGCCTGCCCCAAAGCCTGCAGGAAGACATTCCATCACATGTCACTTATCCAAAGCCACTTACAATACGTGCATTTCAACCATAAGGACACAAGAAACGTTTCATCAAATGAGGCGATTTACAACTGGCTACAGATGAATGGTAAATGGACTGTACTTGTGTAGCGCTTCTCTAGTCTTCTGACCACTCAAAGCGCTTTAACACTACACGACATCATGACAGATAAGACTTGTTAGTGTTTTTGGTCGAGGTAGAGTCTGAAGATGTAAAGGCTCTCTGCGGACCAAAGGGTCAAAGGGTCAGTCAGGCCGGGAATGTCGCTTCTCGCAGCAGAACAGCTGTTTATACTGTATTGTACAAATGAAGTGGCTGGAATCTTACCGTACATCGCGACAGTATACCAATGAGGGCTGAAATTAAGGGTGATTTCATTAGTTCGAGTTGGTTTTTATTTTATTGCAGGGGACAGTTGAACTGGTGGAATTTCCTGCACGGTGCCGTCTAAAAATACGCCTCAGTCTTCTAAAAGCTGCCGTACATTTCCCTCCAAACCGCCAGTACGTTCTCCCTTTCCTTCCCCGGTGAATCTGCGCAGTAGCTCGGGCATCTGTTTTGAAGATCAACCTAAAAGAAGTGATGCAGCAGCGGGCCAGCAGTCAGAATGGTGTCTGAGCCACTACGGCGTACCACCTAGCTTCTGCGTTTCTATTCTCCAGATGTCTGCTTGGCTGGGTGTTTGTGTTCTTGGGTCCCTCAGTTAAAACACTCATGGTTTTCGCTTTTTTTTCTCTTTTTATATTTGTATTGTCATTTTTCTCAGCAAAATGTTAAGTAAATGGGATTTTGCATCTGCATCTGATTCATGCCAATGACTGAAGAATGTCATTTTGAATGTCTGATGCAGAATACTGTCGGGGACTTAAGTCCGGAGAGGCTTGCTTCATGTTTGCCTGTAACAGATCCACTGATTTCCTTAGAAACTGGCATTGCCCCACACGGATCATTCAGAAACTAAAGCAATGCAGTGTCACACTTATAATAATAACTCTTCTGTATTCCTATGAAACAAAAGCTATGACGTGTTTCTCTCGTTAATCAACATGGGAATGAAAACCCACAGGCTGTCTTTGTTTTAGGGAAGTTGTTGCTTAATGATCGCAGTCGGCGCTGACCTGACAAATGGGTTTCCTGTAGGAAAAGTCACCCAAAGTCTGAGAGTTCAGACCATATTCTCTGAATGTTTATTGTTCTATTAATTAGAACAACAACATTATCATAAATTTGTTTGGATCGCCACTCCTCAATGATGGTGACCGTTGATATTTATTCCCACTGCCCGACTTTTCACAGAATGACGTGATTTAACTGTATCTTAACTAATACAATTTAAAAATAGTCCTCCTCTTCACCACATGCAGGGACCAAATGAGAGCATTTGAGTGGGTGCAAAGACACAAGGAGCATTGAACGTGGGGAGGAAGCACTGACCAAATGGTCCATACGTGGCGGTTCATTCACTAACGGGCTCTTAGGGATTCTCTCCTGCCAGCGCTTCTCTTCAGTAAAAGGGAAGCGGTAAGGCCGGGGCCGAGAGTCTCGTAGACGCACGCACACGCCTTTCTGTTTCTTAGTCTGAAGTGATATCTGATCTGCTCTTGTTCCTGGTGTCTTCTTGTAGTTGATTGACTCGTTTGCCTGTGAAATCGTCACACTGAAGAAGGAAATGGGGAAAAAGAAAGTGGCTGAAGAAGATCACGTGACTGATCCACTCCTTGGGTGAGCACAGTGCCTGCACACTTTTCTGCTCCTTGAAGGCGTGTGAACGCATGTACACATGTCCAAGCCATGTAGCCATGTGATGGTAACTGCAGTGCTGTTCTGCATGGCCACCAGCAGAGAGCGCTGTTTAAAAGCCTTTAGGATCCTTCCGGGAGCCCTTGTTTAGTGCCTGTGTGCTCGGACACATGTGGTAGATGGTCCTGCTGTTGGTAATAAGCAAATGTAGGTACTTCCATCGGACTGGAGGAAATAATTACACCACTACTAGTGAAGTTATTTGTTTTACACAGAAAACATTGATTAGTATTCAAAGTAATCTGTTTGCATTACTCATGCACAGCTGATTTTGGTGTGACGTCAGGCTGAGGCTGATCAGCTGATTGAGTCAATCCGTCATTCATCATCACTATAAAATCCGTCCCTCCTGAAGACAGAAGTCCCCTCATTCTTACGTGGACAGCTGTGTGCTCGGGTATTCTATGTTTGACTTTGGTTTTCAGACTGGGAGAAGAGGTGGGCGGTCTCTTCTACCAGGCGTCCCCTTGCACCGGGATCAGAGCGGGGCTGGTCGGAGCCAGAGACTCGGGCTACGACTCCCTCCGTCGGCGGCTCAGTGTTCTGGACCGACTGGTGCAGACCCACGGCGTGTGGCTGCAGCTGGGCCTCAGCCACCAGGACGCCACGCGTGTTCTGCAGAGCCGACCCGACGGGGTAAAGCTTAAACCAGACTCACGCAGTCAGGACCAGACCAGAACCCCAACACGTCCTCCGTGTAATAAGAAACCATACACCACCAACCACATCCGACACCGTGATGGCTACCATCAATTCATCTTAAGCATAAAAGGGTCTCAAATGACTCAAATGAGCACTTTCCTGTCTCTGCATAGCATTTATTTCTCTCAACCTGAAAATCTTCCTGCCTTTAGGAATCCAGACAAAGACTATGCATATTTGTTTTTCACCTCAAGAGCCACAGCTCTGACTTTCCCCACATATTCTGCCTCATCAGGACTTTGTGGTTTGACTGACAGTGCAGACCTGTGATCACATGGTAACACTAATATTGCTCAAAACCTGATTGGTGCGTGGAAGCACATGAAGTACTTCTTTAGAACAGAAGAAGTGCACATAATGTCTCAGAATACACAGAGATGACGTTGGTGTTTTGGTAAACACTGCAGCGTTACATTGGTGGGGGGAGGGGGGGTGTGAGCACACTCCCACCAGTGGACAAAGAGCGTGCGTTGGAAAATGTGAACATTGTTGTGACGTTTCTCTCTGGCCTACAGACATTCTTGGTGAGGAAGTCAACCAGCCTGCAAAAGAAAGTCATATCTGTACGCATGAACAAAGACTCTGCGGTTCCCGTCAAGGACTTCCCTGTGAAGGAGAGCCAGTACTGTAAGTGGCGCTTGTTATTTTCCCTCTCAAGTGCATGAAGCTGCCGAACAGGTTTAGTCCTCCTCTTCTGGCAACAAACGTACATGGCAGAACTATGTGTGCGTTCACCTCTCTGGTTTGTGGTGATTGAAGGTATTAATAGAAAATGTCCTCAGCTGGAATTACCTGGCTGCTGTATTACTGTGGCCTGGCTTTGGAACAAATTACTCTTTGCACACACCAAGTGTGACTGCCAACGCCATATACACAAGCCTATGGACTACAATGAAAACTTAGACAACAAGTGTCTGAAGGATACTTTCAGATCCTGGAAAATAGTCAAGGAACTAAGATGACCAGGGACATCTTGGTGGAAAGCGCCTGGTGAGCCGTATGTACAGTGCATCCGCAATGTGTTCACAGCGCTTCACTTTTCCCACATTTTGTTATGTTACAGCCTTATTCCAAAATGGATTAAATTTATTATTTTCTTCAACATTCTACACACAACAACCCATAATGACAAAGTGAAAACAGTTTTTTGCTAATTTTTGCAAATCTGTTAAAAATAAAGAACGAAAACATAACATGTACATAAGTATTCACAGCCTTTGCCATGACACTCAAGATTTAGCTCAGGTGCATCCTGTTTCCACTGATCATCCTTGAGATGTTTCTACAACTTGATTGGAGTCCACCTGTGCTAAATTCAGTTGATTGGACATGATTGAGAAAGGCACACACCTGTCTATATAAGGTATCACAGTTGACAGTGCATATCAGAGCATAAACCAAGCCATGAAGTCCAAGGAATTATCTGTAGACCTCAGAGACAGAATTGTATCGAGGCACAGATCTGGCAAAGGGTACAGAAAGATTTCTGCAGCATTGAAAGTCCCAATGAGCACATTGGCCTCCATCATCTGGAAATGGAAGAAGTTTGGAACCACCAGGACTCTTCCTAGTGTTGTGCCGCCCAGCCAGACTGAGCGATCGGGGGAGAAGGGCTTTAGTCAGGGAGGTGACCAGGAACCCGATGGTCACTCTGACAGAACTCCAGCGTTGTTCTATGAAGAGAGGAGAACCTTCCAGAAGCACAACCATCTCTGCAGCACTCCACAAATCAGGCCTGTTTGGTAGAGTGGCCAGACGGAAGCCACTTCTCAGTAAAAAGCACACGACAGCCCGCCTGAAGGACTCTCAGACCATAAGAAACAAAATTCTCTGGTCTGATGAAACAAAGATTGAACTCTTTGGCCTGAATGCCAAGCGTCATGTCTGGAAGAAACCAGGCACTGCTCATCACCTGGCCAATACCATCCCTACAGTGAAGCATGGTGGTGGCAGCATCGTGCTGTGGGGATGTTTTTCAGCGGGAGGAACTGGGAGACTAGTCAGGATTGAGGGAAAGATGAATGCAGCAATGTACAGAGACGTCCTCGATGAAAACATGCTCCAAAGCCCTCTGGACCTCAGGCTGGGGCGACGGTTCATCTTCCAACAGGACAACGACCCGAAGCACACAGCCAAGATAACAACGGAGTGGCTTGGGGACAACTCTGTGAATATCCTTGAGTGGCCCAGCCAGAGCCCTGACTTGAACCCGATTGAACATCTCTGGAGAGATCTGAAAATGGCTGCACCGACGCTCCCCATCCAACCTGGTGGAACTTGAGAGGTTCTGCAAAGAAGAATGGGAGAAACTGCCCAGAAATAGGTGTGCCACGCTTGTGGAATCATACCCAAGAAGACTTGAGACTGTAATTGCTGCCAAAGGTGCTTCAACAAAGTATTGAGCAAAGGCTGTGAATACTTATGCACATGTTTTAAAAAAATGTAAAAAACTTTTTAAATAACAATAAATAAATAACTTCTGTAAAAACAAATAACAAAACACTGAGTCAACTGCGCTCTCAACTAATTGGATTTTACCCAAATATAAGATTGGCGGTTAAGCACAAGATGGCAGGAAACATCTCACTGTCTAACGTTAGCTGACTAGCTAGTTGAATCGCGTTAGCTAATCAGAGCTAGCTAATGTTCGCTAACAAAATCTTTCCAAAATAAATAATTAATACTTCGTTATCACTCACGGCAGGCGATGGTATGTTGCTCCAGAATTTGCCGGTGCTGGTTGACGACGGCGTTGGCAGCAAGTTCGAGTCCCTCGCCAAAACTGCGGGTGCTTCTCTTGTCGTCTTCCTCCACCCCGAAGCTAATCTTTCACTTTTCGATGGACGGGTGCGTGGATTTTTCTTTTCAGCCTGACGTGGTGCACTCGCAGGTCTGATCAAGAAGTGCTCCCTTTTTTTCTTTAAGACCGTTTGATGATCTGCTCATATGGATGAGTACAGGGTGAGGGTTTCATGACACATGAGAAATACGGGCAAAGGTCTCCATTATTCACTATTCCTGATATTCACTGATATCACACAAATCAAAATGGCCTCATTCCGGTACGGTTTCAAGCATGGTCCCAGGAGACTTTTCTTCAGTTTACTTGTGTTACATATTATTTTGAAACCTTGGGGTTCAGTGCATAAAGAAATGATATTCCACTGGGAATCTGCTAGAGCCGTGGTCCCGAACCTTTTTTACCTCACGGACCGGCTTCATGTCAGACAATATTTCGCGAACCGGTCGAGAAGGTCCGACGGGGGGTGTAGTAGTCGTTGCGGGCGGAAGGCCCGACGGGGGGGAGGGGAAGTAGTCGCTGGTCGGCGTAACTGCCGTGTACGGTAAAGGTAAAAGGACAAGAAAAACGCCTGGTGGGGAATATGTCAGAGTGACAAGCGCACATAATTAGGAGAAAATACGATCAATTTTGAAAATAAAACATTTTTCAGAAAGAAAAAAAGAAAAATTAGCATATATATATATATATATATATATTATATATATATATATATAATATATATATATTATATATATTATATATAAATATATATATATATATATATATTATATATAAATATATATATATATTATATATAAATATATATATATATATATATATTATATATAAATATATATATATATATATATATATATATATATTATATATATATATATATATAAGCTTTCTGTGGTGCCGCCCGGTGGTTGGGGACCACTGTGCTAGAGGAACACAGTATGCAATCTTTCATTGGCTGCAAGCAGGTGCTTTGTGAAGCGTTCCACACAGTCGTGTTGGTGCTCAGTAACACACGGTGGGTCAGCCTGATGTGAGAGGAGACTTTAGTGGAGAGGGATGCACTTACATCAGAACACACCAAAGATCCTCTATCAACACAGAACAAAACAATGTCTCTCTGGATTCCTTTACAGAATTGTAAAGTCCTTTTCTCTCAGTAAACCCTGTTAAGTGCTTCGTCATCCGGTAATCCATTAAATATCTCGGCTCTGTTGCCCAAACAGTTTCTCTTCTATGCCATCATCGCAACAAGCCTCAATTCTGTCTGTTGGAAAGACATTTTCAGAGAAATTGATTGACACTACAGTGTATAACGCATGCATTTCATTTTTGTCAACTTCCTGTGCTTCAAACACGTGGTTCTGTGCTCCTACAGCTTTCTCTCTGGTGGGATCCGGCCTGAGCTTCGCAGACCTCTTTCGTCTGGTGGCTTTCTGCTGCATCAGCAGGTGACTTTTAGAACTTTTCATCATTGTTGTGTTATCTAAATAGTCAGTATTTGGATGTCGTATGTGTACAGACTGTAAAGCCCTCTGAGGCAAATTTGTAATTTGCGATTTTGGGTTCTACAAAATACAATTTCAACATCAGAACTGGAGACAGTTTCTTTCAGTGCAGTCACTTTGTTGGCAATCAGAGGCCGATAAATGCACTGAGGCATTAAATGTTACCTAGCAACATTCATTTAGTAAATGAAGGTCCATTTGGGGTCAGACAGAGCGTACAGCAGGGGAGGCTTGTGGAGGTGTCCAGTTTCACTGAGAGATCATGTCCTTCACAATTCTCTAGGTAGAACTTCCAGCTTTGGTGACGTGGTTTTTCTTGACCGAGGCTTCGGTAAGCTGGTAGAAGAGCTCCAGGGAGGACACCCTTTTTGGAATAACCTGTTGACCAAGCTGTTGTCCTTTTCTCAGGGATGTGTTGCCCTTCACTCTGAAGCTACCAGAAGCCATCTCCTCAGCCACAACGTCTGCTGATCTGGAGGAGGTTGCTAAACTTGGAGCAGGTTTGTTCAAGTTTGAAAACATAAAACATACTTTGTGCTGAGAGTAGTTCATTCTGCTTATGCTATTGCGAAAAAGGAATGACGTATAATGATTGCGTAGGACTGGAAGTCCTGTTGAAACCACTGAAACGACGGTCTGGACATTCGATGTGTAAATCATAACTCCTCCTTCCTCATCACACAAGGGAGAAGAGTGATTTGCTTCATCCCACATCTGCTCGGTGTAAAACTTTAGTTTTCTGTTTTTCTTCCCTGAGACACTGGTAACTCCCCCACCCGCCCCAAAAGATCAGTGCTGCCCAGCTGGACATGGACTCGGCGGGGGCTGGGTGCCTCCTCCCAGCTAACCAAGGCGCTTAGACTGGTTATTATCACCAAATCCTGTAGTTTATGCCTTTCCTGCAGACTTTATTTTGTGCTTCTTGTAACTTGTACTGTTCAGAGTTTGGTGGGTTTTGGTGGAGCCGTGCTTCGTATCGTGCCAGGCCTTTGTGTGACTCATCCATCAGTGTGTACTCTGGGAGGACTTTTCTCTGTGTCCTCACACAGTGATTGGACAGGACTCAAGACTATAGTAGTCTTAAAGGATTGCCAGACATACGTTTTCTTTCTGGGTGTCTGTTTTCATTGATAAAAGGGTTCCTGCTCTGACACAATGGTGGATTTTGTGCATAAAGGTGCTGTGAGTGAAAGGCCGCTGTGACGTACATGCGAGACACACCAACGGCTGGTGGAGAAGACAAAAGACCATTGTGCACTGTGACCTATTCACTGTTGTATGCCTCTCCACCTGTAATGACAGAAGCGCTTGGGAGCCACTTTTGAAGGCACATATGTAATTGTTTTCATTTAAATGATCCACCAATAGAGGTCTCTCACTCCGCTTCTCCCGACTTATTTCTTCCAACATTCCCAAAAGAAACCAAACTGTTTTACCCTGGTACATTGGCCAGCTTCGGCGGTATGGTCAATTTATCATAATTGGATTAAAGGGAAATATTGGGTAAGTGTTGACCGCGCTGAGACCTTATTAAGTAGACCAGGTACATTCAATTAAACTTTCCTCGTTTTGTGTATTGCACAGGTGGGTTTAAAGCTAACACAGCAATGTGGCATAAATTATTACATATAAATCACTGCTACCTGAACAACAGAGTGAATTCGTTCCTTTAGTCTTTAACAAAGGGAATCTTCCACTATCTTGAATAAAACCGTCTCTACGATGGCTGCGAGATACAATGAAAGTTCCAGAAGAAGCTGCAAGTGAGGATTATTTATCTGGGGAGGAGAAGGAGGTTTGCCTGCAGCTTCTTTCATGTATTCTTAAAGAAGTCCCTGATCCAAGTATGAACCTCTGCAACCCCAGGAGAGGTTTCCACAGCAACGGGAGGGATTGTGAGTTACCGTTTACTTTCTCTGCTGCCGGCTTGGTCTCCTGGAAGTCACAGGTCAGACATCATGTCAGCTAAATAAACAGGCATTTACCAACATAATACAAACTATAGCATCGTCATTACAAGCTGCCGTTAACTTCTCTCAGTCGTATTCCTCTGTGTGTTTGTATGAATCACAAGCTGACATCCCTTCTGCTTGGGTCTACAACTACATAATCAGAGCGCCTCCACAAAATCCCAACATTGGAAAAACACATCGAATCTCTAGTACCGTATCTGATGACATGTTCAACAATCAGAGAAAGTAGAGTAGGCGGGGAATAGGAAACGTGTCAGAGAGAGACTGACCTTCAATCCAGGGCCAGGGAGGGAGGGACAGTGCCCTAGTGTCCCGCCCGCACTCCCCCACTAACGGGTGAGTCATGGCACAGAGCAGAGTGTGACTTTCAGCTCATGGGGACACAGCGGTTGTGCTAATGCTATCGGAGCGGGAGGCTTTGAGCTTTGGGATCGCAGTGAGTATTGTTGCTGCTGTGTGTCTGCTGTTCCTCGTGCACTGTGTGTCTGTCTGGTACAGCTTGGACCAGAGGTTCAACAGATCGTAGTGTTACAGTAGGAAACCCTCCCAAAGCTACTGCGTTTGTTGACAGGGTGAACGTTCCGGTCTGCAGTGACTTTGCACGAGGCAGCATTTAGTAGTTTGTAATTGTAGGACTTGTATTGAGTCATTGGGAGTGGATGAGTGAACTTTGCATTTAAATGAATCCTCTTCGGGCCCTGATCCTTCCCGTTGGAGTCAAACATTGCTTATATAGTCCTATGAATGTTTCTATGTGGTGTCAATAGACAATAACCTCAGTTGTTTAATGTAACAAGTGTGTTAATCAGTGAAATAAAGTGTTCATTTGGATGTCGGTGCATGATGAAGTGTCAAATATTTTGTATTAAGTAATGCAAAGCAAACTAACAGAAGTTCAAAGGGGTTTGCAGGCACAGGCAGTAAAGGATATACTAAATTCACCTCAACCTTTTGTTCGCTAAAGCGTAACTTAAATGATACATTAAAGTCTCTTGGCAAGGGCTAGGAGAACAACTACATATGTGGCAATAAGAATTGTGTGAAGCCGGAATAAGGTCCTGCAGTGATGTCACTGAGGGAGTGTTCATCTGGCCTGAAAACTGTAACATTAAAAAGCAGTGAGCTTGTTCTTTCTAGAGGCTCCCGGCTACATTAGCGGCTAGTAGCACAACCACACCCAAATCTCCAAGACACAAGTATTGACGAGGAAGAAGAATGAATTGAAGAACACATCTGTGGTCCAGGTTAAGCAGCACCCGTTGAACCCTCAGGGCCCCGTGCGCACATGTTACTGCGCTCTGCACACGTTCACGTTCCTCTTCTTCTTTCTCAGGCTTCTGGGATGCTCCGGCCGGCCACAGAAGGACGGAATCGCTCAGCTCTTCAGGAATATCTGCTCCCGAAAGACCACCGCCCCCCGTCTGCTTGACCAACTCCCCGAGACGCCCGCGGCTTCGAACTCGCACCCCATCGGAGCTGGAGAGTTGCCAGTCGAACGGAGCACTCTGCTTCATCAACCCCCTCTTCATAAAGGTTCACCAACCGGAGGGCGACCACAGCTCCACCACGGCAACAGCAAAGCTAGGCCTAATTGGGGAGCCCGTTAGCGACGGCCCGCAGCCTGATAGCAAGGACACCGCACACGCTTGCGGAGACAGTGCTCAGGTTTCCTCCTCTGATCAAAGGGACAGCAGCCAGTTGGGCGACAGCCAACTTCAGAGCCTTGACGGAAAGTCAGAGCTACGGAGAGTCAACAGCCAAACCAGCAGTCACAAGATAAGTGCTACAGACAGTGGGCAGCGGTCCCCCCCCCCACGTCCACCGCCACCACGCTTGGCCGCTCCTCTCCAGCAGCACAGCATGCCAGAGAAGATTTCCTGGATCAATGTCCCCAAGGAAAAGGAGAAAGTGGAGGAGAAGGGGAGCCTCCTCTCTCGCCTCAGCTCTTCGCTGAGCATCAGCCCCTCATCCTACCCACCCAAGAAACACATCAGCTCCCCCATATCCATCCCCCGACCCTCTCTGCCCATCTCTCTGTCGTCCCTCTCCTCCTCTCCACGCCGGCTCAATGCCTCGCCGTCATCCAGCCAGGAGGATGCCCAGTGTCACTTAGCATTGGAGGAGCAGACTATTGAGAGGGCTGTCCTGAGGGCCCGGCTGTCTCACTGTAATGCCACCAGGACCCCCGCCCAGGAATCCAGCAGTCCTTCAGACTCCGCTACGATGACAACAAGCAAGCAGGCAGATGGGACAGGAGGACACAAAGAGGAAGGAGGCGAGGAATGCAGTGGTGGCAGCCAGCGGCTAAGTGACATGAGCCTCTCCACGGATTCCTCGGACTCTCTGGATTTCTCCCAGTGCTCGGCCTTCTTCCTTCCCGCTCTGCATGACCCCAGTCCCCCCACGGTGGCCGACTTTAACACCCACCTCCCCCTCTCTCTGCCACCAACCCACCAGCCCTGCTGCAGCACGGAGGACGATGAGGACGACGAAGAGGAGCCCGACTATGGTGTCAGCCTCGAGAGCGACCAGGACCAGGACCTGACCATGGTGCCGCCGGGACACCGCATGAAGCGGCGCCCTAGCGCCGGTGCTTTGATCCTGCAGAGGGCGCTGCGAGGGCACCTGCGCAAGATGAGCGGCGTTTTCAACTCGCTACTGACGCCTGAGAAGAGGGCTGTCCGCCGAGTTTTGGAGCTGTCCAGGGACAAAGGCTCATACTTTGGCTGCCTGGTACAGGACTACCTGAGCTACATGGGCGAGGGGGCGGGCACCCAGGCCTGGCAGGGCTACGCCTCCGGACTGGAGCTGCTGCAGACCCTCCGCCAGTTCATCACTCAGATGAAGAGCTACCTGAGGCAGAGCTCGGAACTGGAGCCACCAATCGAGAGCCTTATTCCAGAAGACCAGATCGGTGAGTACCAATGAAACGCTTCCACCGTCTGTGGTTCTTCTGCTGGTTTTACTGCCACTGGCTTGGTTCAATTTAATTCATTTTATTCTGTATAGCTCAAAATCACAAATGACAAATTTGCCTCAGAGGGCTTTACAGACTGTACACATTCAACATCCTCCGTCCCAAAACTCTCACATCGGCACAGGAAAAAAAAAGAAAAACCCTTTTATGGGGAAGAAACCTTTGTGAGAACGTCAGAGGAGGATCCCTCTCCCGGGATGGACAGACTATGGATGTCAAAGATGAACAATGTAAAAGATGTATAATGCATTCAAGTCCTATCGCAGAAATGATTCAACTAATTGCGTAGTAAGCAGGTGTACGACAGGACCACTGTAGGGACAACCACCATCACATAGAACCACCATCAGATAGAACCACCATCAGATAGAACCACCATCCACAGAAGCCTGTGGGGAGGGAGAGCACAGAGACGTTAGGAGAGGGTAATGTTGGTTAATGATGGCAGTAATAGTAATGTGATTAATATTCAAAATAGTAATAATGATGATGATGGCACCAGCAGGTGTCAGCAGGGCCATTGTAGGAGGCAGGAACAGGGTCCAGATAGAACCATGATCCATGGGACCCGTGTGGCGAGAAAGCACAAATACTCCCTGGAGGAAACACAGTTAGTGATGCGCATTAATGTTTAGAGCAATAAAAATGGAAATCTCAATGGTGTTAGAAGCGATAGGTGTCCGCGGGCCAGGCTGGTCCGCGCTAACCTGAGCCAGCCCTCACTATAAGCAAAAACAAAGAGGAAAGTTTTAAGTTTTACTTTAAAAGAGCTGACCGAATCTGCCCCCCGGACTGAAAGTGGAACCTGGTTCCACCAAAGAGGAGCTTGATAACTGAAGGCTCTGGCCCCCAGACTACTTTTTAAAACCATAGGAACAACAAGTAACCAGCATCTATGGAGCGCAGCTGCCTTGTAGGGCAATAAGGTGTTACAAGCTCTTTAAGATACGACGGTGCCTCACCAGCAAGTGCCTTGTAGGTGAGGAGAAGTACCTTAAAATCTATTCTTGATTTAACAGGGAGCCAGTGCAGAGAAGTTAGTACAGGAGTGATATGATCCCTTTTCTTAGTTCTTGGAGGGCCAGAGAAAACTACGGTGGTTACTGCCGGTGTAACTGTGGCCCCTCTCCAGAAATATCAGTTGCGGTCAACTGCTGAAACTGCTTGCAGCATCTTTATCTTTTTTAAGCATCATGACGTCATACTCAACAATGAGGGTGGTGGGAGTCATTTTTTCAGGAAGTGGCAATGATATGATGTGTTTATGGCAAAAATAAATCGTAGTTTTTATCGAGTCTCAGAAGAGCGTGTTGCAAACAAAGCAGTTTCTTTTCAATATCTTGGCGGTGACAACTTGGTCATTGCATGCGTGTACATGTGTTTCTTGGTATGCGTAAGTTAACGTGTGTTGTTGTACACACTGGTGAGTCAGTGTCCATTTGAAAAAGAAAGTTGGGGCATGTGAACATGCTGCTGAAACAATCTTACCTTTTGAAAAGTGAAAGTGCACTGCTATTTCCCTCCATAATATTCATTCTTTATTGCATCTTACTAATGCAACAGACACATTATGCACACCCCCACCTGCTGGAAGAATGGGCCGATTCATTTCGGCCAAGATTCAGTGGCTGCATTAGATCCTGGACGGAGTAACATGTCAACAGAGGCCACAAAGAGGGTTTTATCTAAGCAGAGCGCTGTTCCTACTGGGCCGCTCACACGGCGTAATTATCAGCTTGGCCGTCTCTCCTTATAACTAAACTTGTTTCAAAAAATGTAAATTGTGTCATTGTGAGCATCTGATGTTTGATCATTTTCAAATCACTAACTTTTACTGAAGGAGAATTTTAAGGGTTTAACGTTACACAGACGCACTGAGCCTCTGGACGTATTGGGCTCTGCAGCCACATCCCGTCACCTGTATAGTAATACTGAGAGCGCCTACCTTTTAGTTTGCTTTGCTTTATTATGCGTTGTTCAAGTAATAATAAATGATAATATGCAAAGTAACTAGTAATAAAAGCTGCCTAACAAATGTATTACAGTAAAAAGTATGATACTTATATGTACAAATTTAAACTCAAATAAAGCAAATATACTAGTTCCATTCCACCACCGATCAGAAGATTTTCTGTTATGACTCAGTTGATCAAAACCATACAATGTAGTGTTTCTTCTAAAGGGTTGGGCAATATAGTGCAGGGTCGAGCTCTATTGGTCCGGAGGGATCTTTGCAGGGGATCCTGTTGACATTACATTGAACCACACTAAGGCCTATAAATATGTATAAATATTCATCTCTAATACTCTCTTTGAAAACAACCATGAAGCCAAGTTTATCAAGTCTTTGGTTCACTTTGCACTGTAGTTGTCAAGGTTGAATTGCCAAAGGGAAACAACATCCACAGTCGTATATACACATTTCCCTGGTCTGTCTGCAGTTATGTGTGTTTCTCTCGACTCACACGGCAGCTAGCCGGCCAGATGCGCTCAGTTGACAGTCAGCCAATTTTTACTCCCACTCTCCTTCTGTCCAATCACAGTGAGGATTGTGGGCGACCCCCTCTGACACCTCTCTGTAGTTTCCATTTTCTGGCCTTCGTAGTTTGTTATGCTAGTTCTTTCATCCAGTATTTCATGGCAATGAGTGATTTGGTCTGTTTTTTTCCACAAAAACATGTTTGATCACATTTACTAACAGGAAGACTGTAACATTTCAATTTTAGCCAATTTGCAGGTGAAGTGGACACAAGACGAGCAGTGTGCAGAAATGAAGGCGTATAAGCAACATGGGAGAATAGAGCTCCTCTCAGACTGCGAGGCCACTGCACGTCACGCAGCCCAAAGGGCTCATGATAGCAGCTGGATCACAACGGAGACGTCTGACTCCAGAGATAGCTTGACCGGGGAGCAAAAGGTCTTATTAGAATAGGAATATAATGGAACATGTGCAGTAAAATGAACGCTGTAGGGAAGAATGCTGGCAGAATATCTGCTTCGGTTATTCTATCTGCAAAAGGTCTTAAACTATACGGTTATATTCAAGAAAGGCAATCTAGATCGGACACCAAACCGCGATGAAGGACACAGTTGACTTTTTTCCCAGTTAAAGTGAAGTGAATTTAGTGAAATTAATATTATCTTTGATGAAATAATGCCATAAGTATTGAGTGCATGGAGCCTGTGACAGTAATCCTATTATTTACAGGATGAGTTTAGCTTCTGATGCACTGACCTCAGCATGTGTGTGTCGAGGACCTTAAGACGAACGCAGGAAGTGGCCCATCGATGTGGTTCAGACACAGTACATGTGGACACACCAGGCACACACATGTACACCATGTTAGTGTTAGTCTGTGCGTGCGGCCTGGATGGGATTTGACTGATGACAATTCCCAGGCACACAAGATATAAAACTTTCTTTTTTAATAATTGGTCAAAGAATCTACAAAGTTGTTGATTTTCTTTAGTTCTGAAGTTCGAACGAGCTGTTTGGTTAAAGGCCGGTGGAGGACACGGGATGTTTACATGGAGCAGGAAACGTCCGTTTGTGTCCGATAACCCTGAAGCTGTGACACAACGCGAGAGATTTAGCTTCTTGGTCAGGTGAATTCAACTCTGAAGGCGGAGCAGGACGCAGAGGCCTCAGCACTCACTCGTAGCCGAGCTTAGAACCTCTGACCAGTGGAACGATACAGATGCAGCCAAAAACACAAATACCAATTTTTACAGTCGTCCTTGTTTTCAGAAGCTGAGATTTGTGTGCCAGATGTTTTCATGGCCAGGTGAGGCATGTTCCCTCGTTGTTCCATGACTAAATGATAAAGGTGTCTCAGTCTAGATACTTATATCTGTCTGGACATTCTGGGCGTTTCTCCCACAAACAGTGACATGAACACAGGCCGTTAGGACAGTTTGCACCGTGACAAACGTTGGGGTGAGAAGTGGGGCTGCACGGAACCCAGAACCCCATATCACGCTATTAAGAACGGTTCTGACGGTATGTGACCCTATTGTTTTTTCAAGTGAACACATTAATTCATTGACCCCGAAAAGCAGCACCGGCTACCCAAACAGCTGTTTGCTGCCCGCTGGCGAGTTAAGAGAGTTAGCTAGTTAGCGTGTTAGCTTGTTGTGGCTGCTAGCGTTGCCACCAGAAGCTCGACAGACTTTGCTATAAATCGTTTTCAGATCCAAGTCGGATTTTCCAAAACCTAAAACCCTCCAAACAGACTCGGCTCCTCTGTTGGGCACAAGTTGTGTTGGTGCCTCTCTGGTCTCTCCAGTGTTTCCATGTAGCAACAGTTACTTGTTGTTGTGAGCTTTACCCAGCATGCAGTTCGGCCGGGTCATATTTATAAGTGTACAATTATTGCTGTTACAAATTGTTTGTGTCACAAGCTGTTGTGTTGTTGTGTTTTTACCCCGTTAAGGAGTGTTTGTTGTTGTTGTTGTTGTTGTTATACCCATGACTCAATCTCAACACACGTAAGACAAATGGCTCCGGCCGCTGGGCGCTCATCCATGGCGTGTTAAAATAAAGAGCACCGTCCGTGCGTGAGAAATGCTTACTCGTATGTTGGCCTGCCCAGCCGTGTGAGAAGTGTAGGACGTGCTGGAAATGACATGTTGCTATTTAATGCATTGACGATCTCACAAGAGTGAAATAATGTAAAACACCAGCATGTGATTCAATGGCAGAAGAAACACTTTTGATGCTTACAATTGTCCACTGCTTCCTCCGCCCCGATGGACTCACACGGACACGTGTTCATATTTTTAGTATTGATACTGGTAATATATCTGTATTGTAATCATCGGGTATCATGATATTTATGGCAGGTATTGTATTGAAGTCATTTTGGTATCTAACAAAGGCTGAATGCCATCAGCTGTCTTTGTCTGCACATGTGCTCAGTAAAAGAAACAAGTGCTGACTGACAGCAACAGGCTGTGGTCTGCAGCATGATGTCGTGGATACTGAAGATATGGTTATCTTCAATCACCTTGACTTAAGTTATATGTCAGCTCGATGATATAAATTAGGGCTGTCAACATAAACGCATTAGCGGGAAAAGATATTTGAAGGTAGTTAACGTAACTTTGTTTACCTCAGAAACAGCTGCTAGCTGCAGTCAGTTGGATCGGAGATCGGACCACTTGAAGCACCGCTAAGCTAAGCTTGCTGCTAGGCTAGCGAAAGGATGCCACATCCTTTGAAGGAAATAAAAGTTTCAGCATACAAAAAGGTTTTAATTATATAAACAACTCCAAAAGTCAAAGTGAAAAACCCTGTGACTGACCAGTCCAAACAGCTGTGTGAAATACATTTGTTGTGGCTATATGTCCCTAATTACTGCCATTGCAGATTGTTTGGCTCTACCAATGGAGACGCTTCCACGGTAGTGGGGAGTTGACCAGGTGTGACGTATGTCTCCATGTATGGACATACCTGACTGAAGTGGGCGTGGCCTCTCTGGATTACCCAGGATGAAGGAACCAGCGGCGGGTCGCGGGGGTTGGGCGAACAGACGGACTCCACCAGGCCTTTGTTCTCGAGAGGCCTTTTCCCCGCGCTTATGTTCATAGACTATAAAATGATTTCATGCAAACCAGAAACCTTCTTATTGGAATCTTTCCTTGTACTTAACATTTGTCCTCTTGTTTTATTGACATAACAAGCAGATGTTGGAATTGGATTTTTTTTAAAACTTTTCCATTAAAGAAGAAAAGCGTTGTAGGTAATTGTCAGTTAGAAAGCTGAGCCGTTGCTCCCTGTCCCCCAGACGGCGTCCTGGAGAAGGCCATGCACAAGTGCGTCCTGAAGACTCTGAAGCCGGTGGTGAGCGCCGCCCTGCAGGAGTTCCAGGTGCGCAGCGGGGAGTGGCGGCAGCTGAAGGAGAACCTGTCTCTGGCCAAGGCCCGGCAGCCACAGGAGATGGGCGTGGCCGATACGCCGCCCCCGGACCCCACGGCCATAGAGAAGATCAAGCACAAGTTCCACACCATGAGTAAACTGTACTCGCCCGAGAAGAAGGTCACCATGCTGCTGAGGGTCTGCAAGCTCATCTACACCATCATGGAGGACAACTCAGGTAGTCGTCGGAGTAGCTCACCTGTTGTCTGCAATATGATGACCTGAAGTGTCAAATGATCCATCTGCCCCTCAGGACGTCTGTACGGTGCGGACGACTTCCTGCCAATGCTAACTTACGTGTTGGCCCAATGCGACATGCCTCAGCTGGACAATGAGATTCTGTACATGATGGAGCTGCTGGACCCCTCTATGCTCCACGGAGAAGGTCTGCTTATTAACCCAGGAGAACAATATTAACTTTCCTCTTTCCATGTCCACCCCGTGTTAACGCACTACCTCTGTGTGTCCAGGTGGCTACTACTTGACCAGCGCGTATGGAGCCATGTCCCTGATTCGAAACTTCCAGGAGGAGCAGGCGGCCCGAGTGCTGAGCTCAGAAACCAGGGACACGCTCCACCAGTGGCACCGCCGACGCACCACCCAGCGCTCTGCACCGTCCATCGACGACTTCCAGGTAGCAGCACAAACTGCCTTAAGTTGTCTTCTTTCACATCAAGAATGTTGACGTGTTGTATTGCCTGGACTTAGTTTATAGCAGCTAATTCTCAGGTGTGCTTCAAGTTCAGAGTGCAGTTTAAATTCATTGACGCCTCCTCATAAAGAAAGCTAGCTGTCAGTTTTTATAGAACATGTGCCAATTTGATCACAATTATGTTTCATTTTTTCTTCAATAACGGTTATTTATTGTGTCGTTCAAGCCAGATGGCTTCTGTGGTGCTTACAGCCAGGATAGCCTAAGCCAGGATAGCCTAAGCCAGGATAGCCTAAGCCAGGATAGCCTAAGCCAGGATAGCCTAAGCTCGACTAGTGATTGGCTGTGGCGGGTGTGTGGGGGTGGGACCTTGGTCGTAGTTGCAGCTCCTTCCATCAGGACTGTGCAGACGAGGACTCCGTGTCTGGGATACTGTGGACTCACTTGGCCAGTGGGAGGAGCTTTTTGTATACAGCCTGATAACGTTGCATGATGATATTCCTACATAACTCATTGAAATATACCCTTTTTTTATTTTTGTTAAGATAAAATGGCTTTGTAATTTACTACAAATGTCCTTATTCCTTAATTTGATGTAACCTTCATGCCGTCCGTCTTCATATGGGTTTCTTAGGGACGTGGGAGGCAGTGTAAAACTCCACAAACTGGATAGAATACATTAGAAATCATAATGCCAGTCAGTGATGGGGAGCAGGATATTTATTATTAACGCCACAACCCATAAATTGTGTTCAGTGCGTCACAGAGCTGGACTGTTGACCATTTATTCTCCCGGTCTCCCCCAGAACTACCTGCGGGTGGCACTGCAGGAGCTGGACAGCGGCTGCACTGCCAAGACCCTGCAGGTCCGACCGTACGCCTCCGTGGAGGAGGTGTGTCGTCTGTGCGCCCAGAAGCTCAAGGTGGCCGACCCGGAGAACTATGGCCTGTTCCTGCTGATGGAGGGCAGCAGCCAGCAGCTGGCGGCCGACACCCACCCTCAGAAGATCAAGGCTGAGCTCCACAGCCGCTCGCAGTCCACCCCCTTCCACTTTGTCTTCCGCCGCGTCGCCGACAGCAAAGCCTCGTCGTCCGCTCCGCCAGAGCTCATGGCCAACCTCAACGACCTCACCATGACCTCCAGTGACCAGGCCAACCTGAATGACCTCGGCATGGACCTGCCGGCCCCCTCCACCCTGCCTAACTCGGGCCTCAGTCCCAGCCTGGGCCTTAGCCTGCCGCCCAACCACCTCAATGGCAACTCCATATCTATATGAAACATGTTTCCACGGGAACGAAAAGGGCCAAACATGCGGCGTTCTCCTTTTGGATGACTATGTCTCAGCCAACGTCCTCTCGCTGGAAAGTTCTGTCAGTCAGACACGGGTGAAAGAGGAAAGGAAATGATTCTGCTTGGTCAATGCAGTACCACTTTGCTGAGCACGGCTGTGAAGGTGTGTACACATTCTGGACACTTTAGGATACATGTGAGACTAATCGCTCATTTTACTTATCTAACAAATCATTTATTTAGGTTAAAAGTATACTCATGATTTGCTTATAGAGTTGCTGGTCAACTGTGTTATTGTGTTGTTTGTTCTGAGAAACTTTATCCTTTGGGTTGTTTGTGTGTTTTAAAGGGACTCTGGCGACACCCAGTGGTGCCTGGTGCACATTGCAACAGTTTCAACTTAAAAGAACATTCATGGCCTCGAGTTGGAATCAATTCATCCATTGACAACGACCTCAGCTGCACATTATGTGCTGTAGCGAGGATAATTTACAATGATCAAATCAATGCCGTGGCTACTGGATTAAGTTCACTGGTTAATGTTAAAATGTGTAAGACCAGGCCACATGAGGACTAAGGGGGCAACTTCACTGCCATCAGGTATTAATAAACTAATTCTACTGTTGGAGTGAGTTGTTAACCACTGCTGAGTGTTGTTGATCACGTTGGTAAGTGCCAGACTTTCCAATGGCCGATACTTTAAGGGTTGTGTGTGAAGGAACCAGCAGGGGGTCTGAGCGGTGTGTCCCCAGGATCCGACCCATGGTGTAGTGGGCCGATGCGAGCTAACTGAAGGTCTGCGTCATCTGCTGGCAGGACGCAGCGAGTGTCTGTTCTGCTCTGTTCTAATACACAGGACGTCTACCTGGACGAGCCGTCCACAGGACAGGACGCTTAGATTGCCCAAGAAGAATGTTTGTCATCTTTAAACGTTTCAAACTAATATTGTGGCCATTTCCTATAGACGGTGTACCTTTAGTGTGAACTATTGTTTACTGGAAGCAGACTGCAGGTGCACCTCGGGGAAACTAGCCCCCGATCACTTCTACTCCTCATTCAAAGAAAAACAACTGCACAAATACTTCCTCAGCAAACCGTTAGGCATTGAAAGAGAACCGATTCAGCATTGCACTACTTTAGCGTTGTTCCACTCAAGAAGATTTAAAAAGAAAACCGGATCAACATGAACTCAGAATCAGAGATATTGTATTTTGAATTGCACACGTCTTCATGAAAAGTCCCTAAATCCCACACAATGCAAACGCTCCATGTCAGAGACCTTTGGTGCCGGGGTAAAACATTTAGCATTATTTCTCTTTAAATGTATATACATTTTATATACACTCGTGGGAATGTTACAGTGGAATGGGGCCTTTCCTGTTGACTCTGGATTGACTTTTCCACATAAAGTTGCATATCTGCGGCTCAATCCCAACGGTATTAGTGAAAAGTTATAATATATAACGTGGCATTTTTCTATGATAATAATTAACTTTTTAAGTGCGCTGGTGTTTTATGCATGTACCGATTATCCTGGTGATATGAAAGATACTGTTATTCATTTTATTTTGCATAGCCCAAAATCGTCTGGACATCCTCTGTCCCGAAACCCTCACGTCACCTGATGCATCTTTCATTCAGATTGACGACGTGTGACTGCCGCGTACCACACAAATGTTATGATTTGTATCTTGTGAGAAAAAAAAGTCAGTTAATAAATCCATGTGTGGACTTTAAAGCTGGTCTGATGTCGCACACACGCGCTGTGTGGCTCTCTGAAGATGGGAAGGGAAAGATCACTACATCAGTATTGAGTTTGGTCAGTCAAATGGAAACAAACAAACAAACTTGAATTGTCTTGTGAATTTAAAGCTTCCAGTATTTGGTAAATCAAATTGATATGCTGTTTATTTCCTGTTAGTTTAGAGCTGTCACACTCCATTCCTTCCTGTCCGTGGTGCCACCAGAGGTAAATATCAGAGAACTTGGGAGCTTTCAAGTAGCATCAGCGTCGTGTATCGAAGCTCCCACGTACGGCCGTGTTATCCAGGATCTATCTGGATGCATACGTATGTTTCTGTGTGGGGATTTTTCAGATGGCTTTTCTGTCTATTCTGTAAAATGCTTTATGGTGTCCTCATGCCTTCTGCATCCAGAGACAAATTGCTGTTTACCATTTGTCCCTGAGAGATCTCATAAATATACTTTGCACTTAATAAAAGTTAAAGAAAATGGCCTGACATTTTGTGTTTGATTGAAGCTGCTTCACCTCTACATTACAGGTCATTTATCCAAAGCAACTTACATTACATTTATAACCCTTGGCTTTTTACATTTTAGCCCGGCGAGCAATTTGGGGTTAGGCGTCTTGCTCAGGGACACTTCAACTTGGGACGTGGGGGAGCCGGGACTCGAACCATGTACCTTGCAGCGCTCACTCTCTACCTCTGCGCCCCGACGACCTCTAGATGGTGATCACATTTCAGGATGTGTACAACTTGCGAGAAGAGTATCAATCGGAATCAGAAGCGGTTTATTGCCACATGTTACACACAGAAATATGTCTTGGTGCAATAAAAAGGAGACAAATAGATACAAGTGTACAAGCAAAAATGAACACTACACACAGATTAGTACATTAAGACACATATGTATTGATTTTACATTACAGGTAATTTAGCTGACACTTTTATCCAAAGCAACTTACATTGCATTTTTAACCCATGGCATTTAGATTTTTGCCCAGGGAGCAATTAGGTGTTTTGCTCAGGGACACTTCAACGTGGAGCAGCTAGAGCTTGAACCGCCAACCCTGCGCTTCCTGGCGGTTAGGGTTAGGAGCACCCTCTCTACTCCGTGCGCCACGGTCGACCACCATATTAAGTATCTACATGACTAATGAGTGGAAAAAGCTGTTTCTATGGCAGAAGGTCTTGGTCCTGATGGACCGCAGCCTCTTGCCAGAGGGAAGGAGCTCAAATAGCCTATCTTTGGTGAGAGGGATCGGATGCAATCTTTCTTGCCCGCCTCTGTCCTGGCGGGGAAACAAGTCCTGGAGGGTCGGCAGACTGCAGCCAATCACCCTCTCTGCGAGAAGAAAACTGAAGAAGAAGATTCAACTGATTGCATTGAGACAATGAAATGCACTATTCTCTGGATTTAACCCTTCCCAACCAGTGGGAGCAGTGTGCTGCCATAAAAGGCGCCCAGGGAGCTATTTGGGGTTACAGTGTCTTGCTTAGGGACACATCGACACAGGACATGGAGCAGCCGGCACTCAAGCAGACAATCCTGCGGTACCCCACTCCATGCGCCATGGTCGCCCCATAGGGGATGACACGCTGCAGCCTGCCCTTGTCCTTGGCTGTGGCTGCAGCGTACCAGACGGTGATGGAGGAGCAGAGGATGGACTCCATGATGGCCGTGTAGAAGTGGATCATCATCGTCTTTGGCAGGTTGAATTTCTTCAGCTGCCTCAGGAAGAACAACCTCTGCTGAGCCTTCTTGAGGTCCTAGGTAATGATGGAGCCCAGGAAATGAAATGACCCGGCAGCGGTGACGGAGTAGTCACACAGGGTGAAAGCTGGGGCTGCGTTCTTACGTAAATCCACAACCAGCTCCACTGTCTGTAGTATGTTAAGCTCCCGGTTGTTACATCCGCATCACATCACCAGTTGGTCCCACCTGTAGACACACTCGTCCCCACCAGAGATCAGTCCAATGAGGGTGGTGTCATCCCAAACTTCAGGAGCTTGACGGACTGGTGGCTGGAGGTGCAGCTGTTGGTGTACAGGGAGAAGAGCAAAGTGGAGAGAACGCAGACTTGGGGGGAACCGGTGCTGGTGGTCCGAAAGGCTGATGCTGCGTGCACACCAAAAGCAAAGCAACTTCGCAACACTTTACTCGCCCAACTAGTTGTAGTTAATTCTCTTTGTCGGTCTCCGGATGGCACTTTCTGGTACTTTTTTATATTTATGCTTTGGCAGCAGCACAGCAGTGATAATGAGCAGAGCATCTCAATGCTGATTGGCTTTTGCAAGACAGCGTCGGACAATTTATTCACTTCCCTCAATTCGCTTTTTATTAGCGGGGTTTTATCAAGGGAAAATAATACTTCATTAGGAAAAAGAAACAACAAAAGGTTCATGCTCCTGGCAGAGAGGAGAAAACACACCAAACACAGAAACCATTAGCTATATGTGCTACAACAAAGTATTTAAATACACTCTTGACAAAATATTTGCAACACACCAACAATGTTGTCAGTCAGTAAGGTCAATCTTGTATTTTCTCCAACTGACACATTGTAGTTTTATTCCGCTGTTTTGTTGTTTTTGGTCTACAGACACAGATCTGGACGGTAAGGCAGGTCATCTGCCCGGACTCTTGTTCTGCCATATATTTTATCCACCCCCCCCACTTTGCTGTGTATGTACCTCCTCTTCATCTTAGAAGGGAAGTCAATCTTTCCATGACGTGAATTTCTTTTACAATTTCAGCTGTAAGAATACGTGTTCAAGATTTGGAGCCTGGTCGGGGTTATCAAAAATTCAGCCGAATGACTTCTCTCGTTCTGGAAAATTTATTTGTCAGATCACAGGTCAAGTATCAGCGCTGCGTTTGCAAAGGCAGGAGCAGTTCAGGCAGCACACAGGCCGGAAGAACAGCTAACTAACATCAGCAAGAACATCATGTTTTATAACCCTTGAAAGACAGAGAAGGAAAGATTTCTATTGGCCCTAAACTGGCGTAGAGGAGGACCTTCCACCTCCCGCATCTAAGATCCGGTCACTTCCAATGTCCAGACTCCTGACTTAACGTAAACATCGTAAACAGAGTGTGTATGTTGAATAGTGTTGGTGTGTCTCTAACCCCCCTTTGGCTGGTAAATCTTCTAGTTGACCCGCAGACCTTACATTCCTCAGCCAGGACATAAACTGACTCCCCATCCTGTCAGACTCGTGTCTGCCTGCTTGGCAGATCCTGCTTACCCCCTTACCTAACTCTTAAATCAAGACAAGACAGCAAAACCCCCAACTAAGCCCATGAAAATAACTTTTGATTATCACAGCCCAGTTTCTTACAGAAGGCGGGTCGGGATGTAACCATTTACGTGTAATTGCTTTCTTTGCTGCTACTGTTCCTGTTCTTTGTTCTGGTAAATAGCCGAAATAGCGTGACTTGCATGTGAATAGGATCCGGTGCTCAAGGATATGCTACATGGTTCTCCTAATATTTTCCCAGAATACCTGTTTCTCGGGACAGCCCCAAAATGTGTGATTGTGGTTTGCGCTTTTTTTCCCCACATCTTATCCAGCATGTTTGGTTTATCGTAGCGTTTATGGGGAGATAAAAAAAGGTTCTTCCAGCTAAATTCATGCCAGTACTTGGAACAGGAGGTAGAAAAAGGCAGTGTTGCACATAGTTTCCCATTGCTGATTGGGTATTTTTTCTCCCTTCTCTCCTTTATAGTATTCACTTCTATACCTCTCGCTATTCCCTGGTAAACTTTTGAAATCACTGATTTGGTGCCTTGTTATTAAAGTAACAATAGATGTATACAAAATCTATTGCTACTTAATTATTTCATTAGGTTCTATTGTTCCCCTTTTATTCATTTCTTGTAAAAGGTACTGCCGTACCCAAGTGTAACCACCGGTAGGTACGGAGGGGCGGTTATCGTCCCGTAGGGATATTAATTAATCCACCACGGACCCACAGATGACCAGTGTAAACAGACGAAAGCAACAGTATTCCCCCAGAGTACAGTATTTAATTAGATTAGATTAGATTCAACTTTATTGTCATTGCACAGGTTACAAGTACTGAGGCAATTTGAGTTTCTTAAAATATCAAAAAGGTAACTTAAATTCATTTAAAAATTCCCGTCCGATCTGGGAATGTCGTCAAAGAAGAAAATAAAAGTTTTAATAAACAAATTCAATTCTATTGGGGCCATAGGCTGCAGCGGGCTAAGAAGGGAAAAAGGGGGGGGGGGGGACAAGCTCTAGGACAAGGTCCTCTCTCCCTCCAGTGCCACATCCACTCTCACGCGAAACAATGTAAATCAAAAACCAAAATCATGCAATTAAGAAAAAGGGGAGGAGAAAGTGAGGCCCAGTCCAACCAGCCCCACCACCATCCGGGTAGCCACGCTGCTGCCAGCCCCACGCACTCCTAAACAGGAAGAAATACAAAGTGTATAAATTAACTTTCTGGGGGACAAATCACAATTTGTTCAAGTCACAGAAAAACTACCACAATGTAATCTTACTGAACAAAATGAAACAAATGAGACACAAAACAAAACCAAGCAAAACAGCAGTGCTTCACGGCCTGGGCTGCATTCTCTCCACCTGGGCCGGCTCCCACCTGGTTTGGGCCTCCTAGAGGCACAGGGTCTGGGGCAAAAAACCGGAGCGTCACTAAGGGAAAATCTATTCTTTCTAAAACACGGGTAAAAACTACGTACCAGCTCCAAACAGGTTGTCAAAACCAGACTCAGACACAGGAAGACTGCATGCTAGTGTCGTAAAATGGAGCCTTTATACCTAGACTAATTGGCAAACCAGGAAGTGGGAGGGGCTTAAACCTATGGTATCACGTGAGGGATATTTCCTCACTGACTACATCTACCCTGCGGTTTTTATTGGCGACCCGACAATTTACTACTACCAGGGTCTAAAATATCCTATGGTGGTAATACCGCCTAGTATCTGGGAAGGTGTAGCCCTGTCCGCACTGCTCCTTAGCCTCGCTGGTAAATGATACGGGTTTGAATGTTGGCCAGCTGTCTCACGGGTAGACTTTCTTACCCCCTCAGGAACAGTAGTCGGAGAGGAACCAGGGCCTGCGAGTGGCTCCTGCAAAGTTGCACCTGATCCTGTGGGGTGCTGGGCTCCCAGAGGTGGGGTCTGTCCTCTACTAGGCCGGGAGTTCTTTGGTCTAGCTGCAGGCCCAACCACTGCCCACAGGTCATGCTCCTCGATGTTAGGATTTGTTGCAGTGGGGTATGGAGCATCTATAGGGGTAGGGTCACAATTCATAACAACAGGTACAGGTTTTAACATGGCCTGGTTAACATGTCGTACCTCTGTTGGCCGTCTTTGTGGGGCAACAGCGTACACTGCACCCCCTGGCTCCGGAGGTTTCACCACCTGAAAAACCTCAGGTGCCCAAGCATCCTGGATCTTATTTCTTCCTCTAATGGAGTAATCTCGAAGGTAGACATGTTGTCCTAAG